GGAACGATTCCCGGGGTTTTTTTTGGGCCGCAATCGAAAACCGCCTCGGGACCTTAAACCATTTTTTTTCCCTTTGGGGAAAACCGGGAAAGAAAAGCATTCCCAAAGCCCCATCCCACCAGTCCGGGGGAGCAAGATCCCGGGGCCCTTATTCCCCTGGCGCGTTTTTCCCCGATTCATTCTTTTTTAAACGCCCCCCCTCCACCCCGGTGTGTAGTTTTGGGGACCCCAACAAAAGACGCGGGGGATGCGGGGGGGGGGAACCAGTTTCCCCCCCCCCCCCCCCCCCCCCTGCAGACCAGCATTTTTTCGTGGTCGTCCTTTTAGAGAGGGGGGTCGCAAATACCTGGTAGACTTTATAAGAGCTCACGTGTTGTACTGTAGCCACATGCTTTGGTCGGGAGTTGCAGAGGGAGGTTTGGCCTCATGTTGTATCTTGTAGGCGAACGATGGTGAAGATGGCGTGTTTAAGTTAGTAGTTAGGGTCGACCGCGCTATGCGCCTGAACGCGATTGTTTGGGCGCGTTCAAGCCAATAAAAGCCTATTTGAGTTCATATACTGCTCACTGATGACTGATGACTCTTAGAGGACGGGTAGGTGTCCGTTCGAAGAGTGAGTGAGAGTGATGTAACACGCAACAGCAACGTCATTGTTATTATAGAACAACATTATTCCGTCTTCCCTCCATTCGTCCAATACCGACCGGTGGAGAGGGAATGGGATGAAATGCCACAAGAAGGTTTTGAAAAAAGTCGTTCGTCGGCATACAAACGCGATGGACGGAACTTATTTATGTAGACAACCAAGACAGACGGATGTAACATGCCTGACTGACGGTCGTCTTGGAGATTGAATCACGATGATGGATGATCGAGAAGGAGCCTTGGGGTACCGTATAAATGCATGCACATCCACTACTGTTACTGTTGTACACACACCCTCGCCCGGCTGTAACCACCACGAAGATGTCGCTGGTGGTCTGTCGGTTCTCAAGAAACACTTCATGAACATTTTCTAAGCAATAGCCACACAACAACAGCGGGATGCCATCCAAGCAGGGAAGTTAAAAGTTCGACAAATCAAACGGCGAGCGGGGCGTGGCAGTCTCACGCTGTCTGCACCCCTTCCTCACCACCCCCACGCGGCCTGAATGTTCTCCCCCCTATGCATATTCGTACTATTGTACAAGCCTTGCCTTCAACAGAGGCGGGGGCCCGGCCCATATTTGTGTTCATATTTTTTCCCACCACCACCCACTCGTATTTCCAACCGCGGTGCCGCCTCCTGGTTAAGCCAAGGCTACTGCTACAATCACCACCATGTCCCACGCCATCAGCTTCCCGAGACATGACAGGAACATGCACCGACTGGGGAAGAGCTCCCCGACAGCCAAACAAATACAAACAATTAAAGACGACTTGTAGCGAACACTCGCTGTCACCGAATCGACAGAGTAAATAATAGATTTCCGGAAAAGAAAGGCTTCTATTGCCGTGTTCATCACGTCGATAAGGTAAGACTCCCCCCTTCCTAAACCTACATCATAAAGAACCCTTCTACACCATATTCACACACAGAGTACATGGACACATGGACCCTTCCCAACGCTATAAAATAGTAACTGTCTTGGTAGTCAGTACCGAATGTGTGTGTGTGTGAGAAAGGGCGCCAACAGAACCCATTACCACCGAAACCACAAGCAACTAAACTGAAACGGCAGGTTTCTACCTTTATCTCCACAAAAAAAACTCGTGAAAAATAAAACACAACTACATCCTGCGCAGCACCTTCAAACGCCAAAATATTGTACTGCTATATGAGTACCCTTCGCCCACCGACGCATCCGTAACGAACGGCCTCTACCCCCCCGCTCCTCCCCCCCCTTTCCCCAAAAATTGGGGACGATTTTTTATCCGCCGGCCCCCCCCCCCCCCCCTCCCAGTACACAAATCCCAGCACGCACAAACCCGCCGCTGAAACAAACCACGGGCCGCCTGCGTCGAGGCAATTCGCATCAAACAGACCAACCAAAGTCGCGGACCAATTGTTGACGCTTGGTATCCCACCCCCCACCCGTCCCCGTTGACAGCCGTCTTCGTTTCAGCAGAAGCGCCGCCACCCATGTCATGTGCCCTGCAGGTCTACCCTATGTGCTCTCCGACCCCCGGTATCCCCGGCGCGCGGCGTCGCGCGGCGGCCGTCGCTGCCGACACAGCCTCTACCTCCCACGGGTTGACGGTGTTCATCCCCGCCTCGTCGTCCCACTCCACCATCAGGCACTCCCAAGGCATCATCTGCGTGCGGGGATCCTTGGGCTTCACCCCCACCAGGGTGCCCTCGAAAATGCGGGGGGGCTCCCCTGGCAAATAAAACACGTGCCAACCCGGAAGAGGACCACGCGGCGATAACGGGATTAGGCTCGCATCAAGTAGGCATTTTTTTCGTTTTTAATGCGCGGGGTTCCGTGCCTACCGGAGCACACAAACCGGAGGATTGATCTCTGGCGGGTGTTCCGTACCGACGAAACATGAAAGGGGTGTCTGGCTCACGGGCAACCGGCTGGCGAGTACAAACGACAAGCACAAAAGTAACAAAATTAACAAAATCAACAAAATCAACAAAATTAACGAGCTCAATCCACCCAAACCAACGAGGGATTAGTTCCAAGAGCATGCCCACGAGAAACGTGCATGGCACAAGGGCATGCAAAAGCCAAAATAATCCTAAGAAAAAACAAAGCGAACGCCATATGTAACAGAATGATGCCCACTACAGAGTACTTGGCACGGTACGGTACGGCACGGTATGGCACGCACCTGGTTCCTCCATGAAGGCCATCTGTATGTGCATCTCCGACCTCCAGTTGAAGGTCATGGCCTCGTCATACTTGGACGTCACCACCACGAACTCGGGCATTTCATTGCTAAGCCGCATAGAAACCCTCAACACACCCCCGGGCACTACTGCCGGCGCCACCGGTGCCGCCGGTGCCGCCGCCGCCGCCGCCGCCGCCTCCCCGCCCCCGGCGCCTTCTTCCTTGGACGCGTCAGCGGCCACGTCCGACTGCCGCTTCTCCTGCTCTCCGGGCGGAGGTGTGTCTGGGGTCCCTGCCGCCGTTGCTGCTGCTGGAGGTGATGCAGCGGTCGAAGGCGAAAGAGGCTGCGAACCAGCTGCATCTTCTGCTGCTGCTGCTGCTGCTGCTGGTGATGGTGACGACGATGTTCTCGTCGGTGATGCGGCAGTCTTCGGTTCGGTGGACCCCCCCGAATCGACGTCCATTGGTTCGGCGCCTGCAGCACCAGCGGCACCGGGCGCGCAGGTCGCAGCAGAAGACGGCGAGGCTTCCCCCTCCGCCGCAACTGTAGTCGACGAAGGTGCTTCGGCCGTCTTTGTCGCCGCCGACGGCGAAGCTGCCGACGGCGATGCTTGGGGTGCAGCAGCAGCAGCAGCAGCAGCCGCGCCGCCGCCTGGCGACGGGGGTGTTGGGGAGACGCCATTGGCCGTCGGAGACCGTGCCTCGGGTGTTTCGTCGAGTTTTGGAGGCTTTTTCTTGGCGTCGCCACTATCGCTGCCGTCGGTTTGATGTTTCTCTTCCTCGTCGGGAGTGCCGTACTTGATGCCCACCAGCTTGTCGTAAAACACCTGACAGCAAGAAAAGAGAAGAACGGAGAAACGAACGTCCCGAAGAGGCGACAAGGGTGAGGGATACGCGCAAGACCGACACCCAAGTGATTGAGGGCTAGATCTACAAGGGGGGGGGGGGAATGGTTCAGCAGCAACCACTGCAAACGATAGTTGGTTCGTTGCCTGCCGGTTATTGCGAAAAATCACGATAGCACACACGTTTATCCCCGTCATCGGGAGGCTGCCCAAACAAACAGCTCAAACCAAGAGCGTAATTGCTCCCAAGTGCGCGGTGCTAAGTGCTAAGTGCTAAGTGAAAAGAAATGGTGCCCAGAAGAGAAACATGAGCAACCAGAACAAGAAAAACCGCCATGATGAAAACACCGGCCCTGAGGTGGTGCCATGACCATGACCATGACACGTCGTCGTCTAGCGCCGGGGTTACCTACCTGTCGGGCGATGCTGGCCGTGTCCGGCTGTCCATAGTCGTCGTCTTCGTCGCTCTCCTGCCCCCCCCTTCCAATGTCATCCTCTTCGGCAGTTCCCGTGTCAAAGCCCAGTTGCCTGGACCGTCGTGAGGCAGACAGCGAAAATAATCGATCAAGACACCATGACAAAAAAACGCACATGATAACCATCCCTCAGCGTGTGTACCGTAAACCTACATGCCATAATTTACCCTGAATCAAAGTCGGAACAGCAAGAGACAATGACCAGCCCGGTGGCTACAGGCGTTCGTTGCATAGATGCATACCTTGCGAGCTTCTGCATGCCGGGCATGGTGGCGAGCTCAGGCGAGGCGCTGATGGCGGCTGACATGTGCTTGTTCCACAACGCCTCCAGTCTCTTCCCGTCTTCCACCGTCTTGCCAAGCTCGGCAGCCAGCTTGGGCTCATCTAGGGTCTCCATTCCAACCTAGGACGCACGTCATATAGGGGGCCCGGCAAACAGGCCCCAACAAGAGCGCAAACAATGGCGTCGACAATCAAGGAGTCAGTAGCAGCACCAGGGTTTTGGTAGACTTGAAGGAAAAACAAGCGTTCAGCTTTGCACCTGCCAGAGGTCAAAACCTGTCCCTTTGCGCCCCGTGGAATGCAAAGGTTCTTCCGGGGTACTGTGCGCCACCAGCCCTCCAGAGGACGGACGCTCTGCACACAACGTGTGGAATGATGGAAGATGTGGGGAGGTTATGTATTGTCGCAGAGCGGTGCGCCCGTGCCCACGGGTCCCAATCAACAAGCTAGCTACCAAGCGAGCGCAAACGCAGGGCGGTGTTTTTGGCAAAGCCCAAGCACGGTGTCGAGCTTAGGCCACCCCTTACCGAGATGGATAGCAAGTGACTCATTCGCTGCAGCACAGCCGAACTGCAAAACACTTTGCATGTACAATTGCATTTTCGTCGAAGAGCGGCGTCGTGCTCAAGACACTCCTAACAAGACTCTCCCACAAAAGAACAAGCTGCGAACATCTAGATACCAAGTGACCAGTCACCGCATCACCGTTGAACAGAAATTACTTTTTCGTCCGGTCCAAGAGCGGTGTCGTGCTTAAGACACCCCTCGCAATCTACGTAGATAGAGCAAGCTAAGTGATGTGATGTGATGTGATGTGATGTGATGTGATGTGATGTGATGTGATGTGACGTAATATGATGTGATGTGTGATGTGACGTTATGTGGTGTGACGTGAGTGACTCACGTTCACCGCAGCGTCGGCCGCTGGGGGTAGGGTGGGGAACTTGTCCTGGCAGTAGAGGCGGCAATTAGAGGCGACCAAGGCCAGCTCGCGCTTGAACTCCTCCACCGACCGGTAACGGCACGCCGAGCACCGCTTCCACAGCTTGTTCAGGTCCATCGGCTCCGAGATCACATCGTAGTAGTCTTTTTTCGTGATTTCGTGAGTCAAAGGAGCGGAAAAGGGATCATCACGGTACAGGAGGGGAGGGGCATTGTCTTGGGTGTAGCAGGATGCCAATCGGCTACTTCTTCCACCCGATATTACATCGGACATACTTAGCTCTCAAGGATTGCGGGAACAGCCTTCGATGCCGTTCTGCGATGAGATGTAATCTTGCCAATATTGTTTTTTTTTTAAACATACGAATAACGGAACCGGAATCGAGATTTACCTGAGCACCTACTGTGCACAGCGAGCATCAGGTAACTAAACACAACGCTGCTGCTGCTGCTGCTGCCTCTCCCTCGCCGCAAAGATGCCTGCAACACCGCTCACCTGGGTATATCGTCCTGCTCACAGGTACGAGGAAGTGCGCTACGTCAGCCCTCTCCCTCATGGCCTTGACAGCCTTCTTCAACAGCCGGTTTAGCTTGCCGAAAGGCTCTGTGGGAGGCAGCAGACCCAGCTCTTCGAAAGATCGGGGCACCGGAGTGGGCTGTGCGTGTGTGTGTGCGGATCAAAGGCAGCACGTGTCAGGGGGGGGGGGGGTAACCTTCGTTGTCGAGTCGAACGAAGCCAACTTCTGCCGTGCCCGCATCGTCGCTGCAACATTCGTGGGACATTTATGAACAGGGCGGGCGGATGCAGGTATAGCGCGGGTAAAACCTCTTGGCACATGTACATCAAAACAAAAAGCACCAACCGCGGGATCCACCCCCAACACAAAATAACCCTTTCAACGCCCTGTAAATACTCGCGGCAACGCATCCCATCCCCAACAACCCACAAAACCACCGACTCGACCCAAAATGGGTGATTCATACTCCGAGTACAATAATAACGTACCTAAAAGCAGCCTGCATATCAGCTATTGTACCAGCTATCCTATTCCTATCCTCCTCTATCCTCACCTCGAGCTCTATGGTGGCGAAGGGCTGCGCGCCCTTGGCCCTCCGGCTGGAGCCCCCCTGGTGGTACGAGATAGACTTCACCGTGTGCTGCTGGACGGTGCCAGGCCTAGGCGGGTCAGAGCCCCACACACCCCTATATCCGGCCTTGGCCTGGCCACCACGCCGACGTGAAGACAAGACGCGCGCCGAGTGTAAGGGTAAGGGAGAGGTTGGCGCAAGTGTGACGCCACGGTGCTGGATGGACAAAGGGGGTAATGTAACGATGGGTAACTGGATGACTTGACTCCGCCGCCCGATAATGTACGCGTATGGAAGAACAAGAAACAAGTGCAGATCAAAAACGGGGAAAGGACAACGCGATGAACTTATTGGCAACTTATCGCGGAATCTCATCTGTTCAGCGACACGATATTTCCTTGAGTTTTGAAAGAAAAACAAACATGAACCGACGCGATAAGCGTTCCTCGCTGACACCCAACAAAGTGAGGGCCAAATTAAGAAAATGAAGAACATTCAGACTGCTGTTCTTTGCGTGTATATGAAAAAGATCCTAGCTGGAAAGAGCCAGAAACAGACAGGGGTTCGGCACCACGGCTGCGCTATACTGCTGCTGTAGGCTCCACTACACTACAGCAAAAACAAGCACAGAATGCCTTGCTCGCCGTACTTCACCTGAGTGCCAATACGTCCATTCCACTGCGAAGAATGCCTACTGCATGCAAAACACCTCCATCGCTAAAACCCGACACAGCTGATAAAAAAAAAAATCACTTGCTATTCTACCGCACGATTACATCAAAAGTCTTGTTACTGCTGTACCTCTGCCTCCAACGAGAGCACGTGCCCGTCTCCATAGTAGAGGACCTCATCCCCCTTGTCCGGCATGGAGTTTCTCAGGTGAGCCGGTAGCAGGGAAAGGAACTTTCGCCGGTCCAGCTCAGAGTAACACCCTTGCGCGGCTTGCCAGTCGATCACATCCTGGCGAGAAAAAAAAAAAAAAGCACAACGCCGACGCCGAAGAAAATGAAAACAAGCTTGCGCGCGATTGTGGGTGGACAGAGAATCAAGCCAGGGCGAGCAGGTAGATACCAGCAGGTTTTGCTGCAGAAACATCCACTTCAGGCAAATTCTCGTTTACCCAAATGTTACACATCCATCCGACATTTTTTGTGTTTTTCCTCGCTCACCCCATCGTGCTTACAACTCACCCTCTACTCCAGTCGCGGTCTTTCCTTCTTTCCTTCTATACGATACGATACGATACGAAACGATACGAAACGCGATATACATTGCCATCTCGGGCTACAAAGAGATAAGAGATGAGCACGCCAACCAACGACCACACAGGATCATCTCTCTACGAACACGGACATGCCAATGCCGTTGTTCCATCATCGAGCCAGCCTCCTCCCTCTTTCACCTTGAACGCGCCCCAGGCCGCGAGGAGCTGCGGCGCTGTCTGTGCGTTGTTGACGAAGGTTCTCCACTTTCGACGCCGCCCGAACTCCGACCAACGGGCATCCACAACCCTGCACACATCATCAAACAAGGGGCAGGACAAAAACGTCTTGTAGTACACGTCAACCCGAACAAGGAGAAAGAAAAAACATTCCGTACGTGTCAAAGCACACAACCAACAGGAACGTACGCAACAAATCACATCACGTGCATACAAAACATCATGGGCAAGGACCAAACAACGACGCACTAGCAACATGGCCGCTGTCCTACAAGGGGAACAAACTAGGGGGGGCGCTCTTTTCACTACAAACTGATTCCTGTACTTGAAGCCGTTGGAGAGAGGGGCCTGCCCAACAATACTAAAGGACTAGGTTTGACGTTTCGCCAACACAACACAACAACTGATACATGCGTGGTGATGGGGACAGCAAAGAAAATTTTTGTCAGTAATGTAAAATAAAAAATAAAAAATAGGGGATTCGGGTGTCTTTGAACACACGAACAAGGGGGGGGAGCTATATACGAGCCTCCTGTTCGTGAATAGTGCCATGCCATCACACATCACACATCACACATCGCAGGCCGCACTCACGTGTCCTGCTTGAAAACCAGCGCCTCGATGTACAGCATCCTCCTCGCCAGCTCCTCCACCGCCGCCCTCCCCGCGGCCACCGAGCACGGCCCTAGGCTCAACGGCCCCTGGGTTTCCAAGACAGGCATGCTCCCCTCCTGAAAGATCGCGCCGCTCCCTCCCACCAGCTCCGACGTCGCCTGCTGCTGCTGCTTCTTGGGCTCGGTGAAAGAAGGCGTCGCCCCCCCGGCGGGGACGTCGGTCTCGCGTCCCCCCCCTCCCCCTCTGTTCTGGTCGGCGCCTTGCCCCGCGAAGGAGACTCCGAGTCTCCACTCGGTGCACGCCTGCCCCTCCCACCCCGGGCCTACGACAAAGCTGTGGTGCAGCCTGCTTTCGCTCTCTAGGAGGGCACCCTGCAGTTTTTTTTTTTTTTTTGGGGGGGGACTTGTCAACCGCGTGGCGGAGGGGTTGTTGTATTCTTGTGTGTTGTTGTAATACCTTCACATTGAAACACATTCCTGAGCCTGCCCAGTAGCTTCCAACAATACGGTCCATCTTGTTGTTGTTGCTGCTGCTGCTGCGGTGTTGTTTGCGCCATAAAAAAAAAGGTTCTGATCTGATCTCGGCTCACGCCATTATAACGCCCGGGGCACAGTAGTACCTCCCAAATATGAAACATGGCACAGAAGTGAACGGACGGGACTCAGAAAAAACCAACCGAACGCGATTGGGAATAAGAGATACGTGATTGGAAACGTGCAGAGCAAGGTCGGCTTTGTGCGTGGTGTAGCAAGACCGTTCGCGGCGGCGGCCGCAGCTGCCACCGACGGCAACGGCAACAAAAGAGCGATTATCATCATCTTCACTACACTACAGCAGTGTTTCGTGCGGTGTAGGTTGGCTCTCCCTCCCCAACATGCATTACTGACAACAGCAGCGCGCCCACATACAGGGGTAGCACAGAACACGGCACCACACAAAGGACTCATATTTTTGCCCCGAGGGTATATCGTTTCCTATATAGAATTTAGTGCAGGATGTCGTCCAACGGAGCACCTGTTCTCATGGTCAACAAATGCTTGAGCTTATCTCTTCTTGGGTCTCAAGTGCAAAAATAAACCTCCACGTTCCTACGTGGTGACATGTTGTTCTCTGCCAACAGTGCTGCGGGCACAGGCGGCCCGACTGCATTATAAGATGGCCAACAACGGGAATCTGAATTCAGTCACCACACTGAGTTCAAACAACTAGACACGGCCATGCGAAGAGAGAGAGAAGCAACCTGCACCCGAAATTGCCAAAATGGTCATGTTGCCGAGCGCGCTCGGTCGAGAGAGGCGAGCGGCCTGAACGGATTGCCCACCTTGACCATGTCGATGGCCGCGTAGTCAAGCGCCTGCTGTAGCGGCTCTCCCTGCCCATCCGTGAGAAGCACGTCCGACAGCACCTGAAAAAAAACACACACACATCCCATCAAACTCCTACACAATTTACCCGACCACCATGCCAAGTTACCATGGTCCCGCAGGCAGTAAGTACACGACGAACATCATCACAACCTTTGGGAACAGTCGTGCTGCATGATTTTCAAATTTCCGAGACAAAACAGGAAAACTCGTTAGTTGGCGGCAGGGAGAAACCATGCACGTCTTTCCGAACAAAGTTGGATTATTGGATTAAAACACAAAAAAAACGAACGCTGCCACAAGTGTCAACAAACACAATTTTCACAACTTGGACATAGCTCGAAGCCGAAAAGGCCCAGGGAGATGACGAGGTCCTCCCGAGGCGACTAGATAGACAAGACTATGATTGGTTATTTGGGGTGATGGCTTCTTCTTCTTTTTTTAATATATATTTCAGGTTTGGGGACGCAAAATGCGCTACTATACAGCAGTATCGACCGGTTTGTAGAGCTCAATTGCTCTACAACCAACAACAAGGGGCTGTCAACCCCGAAACACGAGGGTGGTTCTTGTCAACATGTCGTCAAGAGCTAGCTGTCATTCCGTGCGCTTGTCGGTCGAGTGTAGCACCCTCCGCCCTTGTGCAGCAGCAACGTACTCATCGATCTTCTTTGTGTTTACGAATCGATCGCACGCCTGCTGTGCACTAGCTCGAGCTCTCACGGCACAGCTGTAAACATACATGTATTTAAAAAAATAGCGTCCCCAAAGACACCAGCAGCAGCAATAATAGATTACCTTTACGACCACGAGCTTGCCCGACTGAGAGAGCCCCGTGTCCTTCAGCCCCTGCGCCAGCCGCCTGGGCGTCTCCGCGACGATCGTGTCCACCGATACCAGGAGGTCTCCTAGCCGAACACCCGCCGCCTGGACAGGGCCGCACGTATCCAGAGCGAGAGAACAAGGGTTGAAGGGTATGGCCGAGCTTTCTAAGGCTGTGGACCAGGAAGCACATGACGAAAGGCAGCTTTCGAAACAGGGGTGTGCGTGCACATAACAGATCGAAACGGTTTAGGGGTAGCAGGAGTGATCGAACTGTATCGAAACTAAGGGGAAGGTGTCAACACATCCAGTTTCTTTACATCCACTCAAACGCGATTATCTTGGCCTATACCGGAATTGAAACCAACCCCAAACACGAGCACCCAAAAAAAAAAAAAACACACACACACACACAGCTAATGGCAT